CCTTTACCTAGTCTGTTGACATAATGTCACGCAAGTCCCTATCTATTTTTGGAACATCTTCCCTCATTTATCAGTGCCATCTCTTACTCATCTCCAATGGTATTGTGTGGGAGTTTATTATTCTGTTCCATGATGGCACACCTGTGATTCCACATTCCCAGTTTTCACCTTCTCTAATTGGGTGCCCAGCTTCATTTGGGTTCCTGGGTCCCAGTATAGACTTCAGCAAATGAGATGCATACTTCTCAACTGTTCCAATTTGGCAAAGATAGTCCCACTTAATCTTCTGTTGTTCCAACTGTTCAGCTGCTGTTAAAATGTCTCTGTTTCTCTATCCTCCTTCGTCCTTTGCCCTCAGTCTACTTCACCTATCTACAAAAAAATAGTTTACTTAGCAGAGGAAAATGAGAGGGGTGGAATCTTTCCCTTCCCAGGAAGCTCAAGCAAAAGCAAACTGCTGCAGCCTCTTCTAGATTTGTCATTAATCCCTTTCGCCATTCTGACCACATTCTGATATTGCTTGGCCCTTCTCTTTCAGTTCTCCTCGCTAAACATCACAAGATGGCATCCAATCTGATACCCATCATCTCCCAGAAGGATCTGGAGAGCATTTCCCTAATGAAGACTGGACTTGGCTTCGCTCTCAAAGCTTTCCATGCTCCTGAGAATACAGATGTTTCTTTGAAGCTCTTAACTAGTCAAAATACAACAGAGAGGTAGGCTTCCAGTTTGCTGGCTTGCTTTGTAGAAGAAGCCAAATGGGTAGTTTCTCCTTTTCGTATGCTTGTTCTCACTGATAAACTGGCTAACAGGTGTCTTGGCTTCAGGCTTCAAATCCACTTTGATATTTCCTTTATGGAAAAAAAAATTCAATGTTCTGATACAAAAGCATCAGGGCAAAGAAAAGTTTAACTGGAAGAACCTTCTTTCTTATTCTAGTATTCTGCTGGAATGGACTTTTTACAAATGGAGCACTTAGCTGTAAGCCTCTATTTGTAATCTGAAGTGATACAACCCTAATGCAAGGTAACTATCTGCAAATAAAAAAAATAAGGCCCTGTTGTCATTAGAAAAGTGGAATTCTTTGTCCTTCAGACTGAGAAACGTGTAAATAGTTGAGATCTGTAAGAAGCCATTTGTTTTGTAAGCTGTGGCAAGTAAGTGGTGCTTGCACAGAATTAGGCTAGGAAATTTCCACATGTTTATTCAGACTGCCGCTGTAACAAAAACAGCCAAAAAGGTGATACAGTCTGTTTTGAACAATAGTCTCTTAGCTTAAGCTGTTGTTGATTTTTTTTCCCTCTTTATGTGGATAATATTTGGCACACAATCAATGTTCTCCTTACTTTTTTGAGTGCCCATGAAGAGCCAAGAAGTCTTAAAGTTAACCATAGTTTCCCATTGCATCTCAACCGCAAGTTAATTTTGCTTTCACTCCATCTAAAACAGTCATTGTAAAATTGGTTCTCTTTTTTAATTCCTAATATATTTGCAGAGATCTCAAGGCACTCCTTCAAGAGGTGGCCAGCACTCGATGGATGCGATGTGAGAGGCTCATGCCTTCTCTTGGCATCTGCCAGTTCCAGGGTTTTCTTGGCATCGTCACAGAATGGATGCACAATGGCTCTCTCAATTCGCTCATCCACGAGGTATGTAAGAGAAAGAGGAGTCTATGGGGGCATCTACACCGTAGAAATAATGCAGTTTCATACCCCCTTTAAGTGCTTTAGCTGCAGCCTATGGAATCCTGGGATTTGTAGTTTTACAAGGTCTTTAACCCGCTCTGCCAAAGAGTGCTGGTGCCTTACAAAATGACAAATTCCAGGATTCTGTAGGATGGCGCCATGGTAGTTTAAGCGGTGTTAAAACTGCATCAATTCTGCAGTGTAGAGGCAGCCTAATTCCCAGTGAATAAGTGGGGAAAAATGGCTAACATGATCAATAAGCCAACA